CTGTACAATTTGCCGAAGGGTATGTATGTGGTCTATGATGCTAAAGCCCTTTTGGAAACCGGCTTGTTCGGGAGCTGGAAGTCGTCAAGTATGCGCGCGAGACGATTCGTAATGACTCTCGAAAACAGCACGTAGACGCGGCTCAGAAGGGAAATCGGTCTGTAGTTCTTCAAGAGAGCGTTGTCATCTTTCTTGAAGAACAAGACCACCGCACTTCTGCTCCACGCCTCCGGTGTAATGCCACCATGGAGGACGAAATTAAAGAGCTTCTGAAGGACTTCAATTACCGGTTTTCCACCCGCTTTCAGAAGCTCCGCTGCAATTCCATCCTCGCCTGGGGCCTTACCGTTTTTAAGGTGCTGGAGAGCCATTCTAATCTCGCTCAGACTGACGTCCTGGATATCTTCGGAATTGTGTCGGATGAGACTCGCTCTTGGATCGTTACTCACACTTGCGTGTGGCTCCAACGATGACGTGTACAACTGCCCATAGAACCTCTTAATCTCACTCAAAATCTTAGGTGTCCCGGAAATGATGCTGCCACATTCTGTCTTCAGCTTTGACAGTTGGCTCTTTCTGGCAGACAGATCTCTGGCAAAGACTTTGGAGCCTTGGTTCCGCTCGATCGCTTCTTCAATACGAGCTGTATTGAAGTTGCGTAAGTCCCGCCGCATGCATTTGGAGATCTGTCTGTTCAGATGCCTGTATGCTGTCAAGTCTGTTGAAGAATGTAGCTTCATCTCCCGTCTAACAGCCATGAGATTAAGAGTGTGATCGGAGAGTTTTTGTGTTCTTCTGCGGCGGGTCATGCAGAACTTAGCTTCGACCGCATGGACAGTTTCCACGAGCTTGTCATTCATATCGTCCACTTCATTGCAGTCTTCTAGGCACTGAAAACGGTTTTATAACTCGAGCTGAAAGGTTTCGAGACTTTGGATTAGAGCACGAGGGGGACGGAGCATTGACTTCATTAGACGAGACCTCTCCAACTTAACGTTTAGGTTCAGTGTGCCTCTAACCATTCGGTGATCGCTACCAGTTTTCACCCTCGCGATCACGGAGACATCACTGAACAGTTGTCGTCTGGTCGTCATAATGAAGTCAATCTCATTTTTTGTCGAACCGTCGGGGCTCGACCAGGTCCACTTCCTGTGGGGCCGCTTCTGGAAGAAAGAGTTCATCATAAAGAGTCCCTCTTTCTCCATGAAGTCGGCCAGCTGCTGGCCCCTTGGGTTCCGTTGCCCTATTCTAAATTTCCCTACTTTCAGCTCACCGTTCTCTCTTGTGCCTAGTTTTGCATTAAAGCCTCCCATTAACACCGTATATTGGGTTTTGGAGGAATGCATGGCTCTAGAGATATCCTCGTACATTTCCTCCACCTCCTCATCGGGGTGTGCCGAGGTTGGTGCGTAAACCTGTATGACCTTCAGCGAATACCGTTTGGTGATTCTGAGTATAAGGTACGCAACCCTCGTCGACACACTCCCGATCTTTACAACGTTGTTAACGAGAGACTTGTGGACGATAAATCCGACACCTCCTTGGGACAGATGGTCGCCCTCCCGGTGATAGAGCAAGTTGCCGGATTCGAGGATTACCGTGTCCTCCCCCTCTCTTCGGACTTCGGATAATCCTATAATATGCCAGCGCAAGTTGTCTATCTCTTCTTCCAGCTCCACGATCTTCTCGTCAGTCCTCAGGGTGCGTGCGTTGTACGTTGCCAGGTCGAGTCGTCTAAGGTGGCAACCGAACCTCCACCGGAGATTCTTAGCACCATATCGCAGTAAAAAAATAAAGCCGCAGCTATGCTTTTAGGTGACAAAGATGTGGCAAAAATCCTTAATATATCACAAGATGTCCAATACTTATTGATTTCCAAACTTTTCGTCGCCCTTTGTATATACTGGCGTAGAAGAATTACGAAAGGAGATTAATGACTCCTGTTCAGTTTACACCGAATACATAATGTACGCGTAGGCATTTTAGTTTAATGTTTTTATTTAAGTCAGTACATGTACGGACACCAACATTGTCTCGTGTGTGCTCACATACCTAACATTTATAAACATTATAACAATAATAATATTATAACAATCTAATGAACATTTTGTGTATAAACAGTATTTTAAGTAATATTACATCAAAAGGTGTTGAATACCGCAACATCTTTTTGGTCCTTCGGGAGTGAAGTGTGATTGTGATTTTTTCGGTGATAGCGAATCGGTTTGTCTGGCCTCCCAGAAGCGGGTCTCACCAGGCAGATTGAGAAGGCGCATATATCGCTGGAAGTTCATCGTCACACGGACCGCAAACAAGAAGCGATCAGTTCACTTAACACCTATCGAATACCTATCAACAACAACATCGTGGAAGACTTACAAGCAAATCAACAACAGATTGTTTCTGGTATGGAGCAGCTGCTCAGCAACTTCAAAAAGGACGGCGCCGACCGTAGGACTGCTGCTCATATCAAAAAACAACTGGAGACTTTGGATACATACTGGAAAGAATTTCACAACCTTCACCTCTAGGTACGTGAGTTATGTGATGAAAATCATTCCTACATTGTACAGAATCAATACGGACAAGTTCTTGATTTTTATACAAAAACAAAAGACTACATACAAAGTTTCTTACCAACTGAAGACAAATCAAGAAAACATCAAATTTCAACCCCCCGCCATCAACGTCGTCAGCAACACCGCGACAAGTGGACCGCAGTATTAACAGCAAGCTGGATGAGATGTTGCGTAAGAAAAGTAGCAACTTTAGAGCTTTTAAGCGAACTTTATCAAACATTGACTTGGATTTGTTAACCGATAACTTGGAATTAGAAGATGCTCTGAAGACCTTGAGTGTTAGATTTTTTTCTTTTAAAAACGTTACCCCCACACTAGGATTTTCTCCTGTGTCGTGGAGGCAGTTTACAAACATAAATTGCACAAGGACAAACATCCAGACCCGGAACAATTATTTGTAGGCCATACAAATACTTGTTCCGTGCGGGATTCAAACCCGCGACCCCCAGCGCAACAACTGATTGCTAAGCCACTGCGCCACGGAGCCGTCAACGTAGATGAAACGCTATCGACTCCCTTCATTGGGAGCTCGACAGCGAGCTGGAGGGTACTAACGTAGCATACGAACAAGAATTTTCCATCCATTAGAGAATCTTTAGTGACATAAAGAAGGCAATCAACAAGAAAATATGGTCAACAGCTCATCAAGAACAATTTACACCAAAGCTTGATATTCCTATCTTCAACGGAAATTATCACCAATGAGTTCCGTTCAAAGATCTATTTACGGAATGCATTCATAACAATCGCTCCCTTTCCAGTGCTCAAAAAATGCAGTTTTTAATGAGCAAGGTCAGGGGAGAGGCGGAGCGGCTGATACAACACCTACAGATAAGCTCGGATAATTATATTATCTGTCTAACCCGAAACTTATATACACTTCTCATATGAACATATTAATGAGTTTGCCAGTTTCCCATCAAGCATCAGTGACCAACATCAAGAAAATTCACGACACTACGCAAGAATGCTTAAATGCAATAAAAAAAACCTAGGAATTGACATAAGCACCTGGGATCCGATTATTGTTTACCTGTTGACTCAAAAACTCGAGTTTTTATCGTTATCGATAACGAAATTCATCATGATTATGTTCAATCTTTGAAATGTCCCCGGGAACTGCCAAAATTACAAGAGTTTAAAGTTTTTGCAACAAACAACTACGTCGATGGAATCTGGACGTAGAAAACAAGACAACACTCATCAAAAATCACACATTCCAAGTAGTCATAATCAGTATCCGAAAACTTCGAAATCGAATTATTTCAAGCAATCATACGCCAGTAATCGAGTAACAACCCAGCATCCATCCAACATCTCGTCGAGGAGTTCTGCGTCAACTAACTTACAAGCTGTTAAAAACAAGAATTTCATAACATATACATGCCCACTCTGCAGTAAGGATCATGGACTATTCTTTTGTCAAGAATTTTTGGACATGTCTCCACAAACAAGACGTAAAACAGTAACAAAATTAAATGTTTGCCAAATTTGTCTTTTTAGTCATCAAGGTAAAGCATGCCTTTCAGAGAAGCGGTGTCGTGAATGCAACGAAAATCATAACACTATGTTACATGACGCCTTCCGGTCATATTCAAACAAGCCCCAAAACAATGCGAGTGTGAAAAACAAGTAGTCGATGTCGTTAGAAGCGGAAAATAATTGCGTCAGTATAAACAACCCCATGTATACAACAAACGAAGAGAAAAAGCAAGTTTTAGTAGCTCAGAAAGCAAAAGAAGAAGAAAAAAGCTACATTTTACAGCAATTCATAGAAAAACAAAGCTCATTTACACGCTTAGTAAGAATATTAGTATGGATTCTACGAGTCAAAAAAGATAAAACTGAACAGAGGCAGCCCTACCTAACAATATCAGAGTTACAAACAACGACTAATTTAATAATAAAACATGTGCAATCAGCTGAATTCAAAGACGATATCAATAACATTATGCAAAATAAACAAGTACCGAAAAAGAGCCCATTATCAAAGTTGAATCCGTTCATAAATAAAAATGGCATCTTAAGAGTAGATGGCAGATTAGAACTCGCAAATATCACATATAATATGAAACATCCAATGATTTTGCCGAACAGAAGCCGTTTTACACAATTACTGATTGATAGCGCGCATAAGATCACATTTCATGGCGGCGCGCGATTGACGTCAGCGTTCATTCGACAAAAGTACTGAATTGTTGGCGGGAATCGAACAATTAAAAGATTAATAAGAACCTGTATAACCTGCCGACGTCACGCTCCCAGCATACAACCCCAGATCATGGGTGATTTGCCTGAAGCCAGGACACCTCCTGTCCTTTTTATCATACAGGAGTTGACTACACGGGTTACGTGGACGTCAAGGCAAGCAAGGGTCGAGGCATAAAAACAAACATGGGTTATGTGGCTGTATTCGTGTGCATGGCAACAAAGGCCGTGCACCTCGAACTCGTGTGCGACCTCACGTCGTCAGCATTTTTGACCGCACTGCGTCGTATGGCAGCTCGTCGAGGCGCGCCGCGTCACATATATTGCAACAACGGCACTTACTTCGTCGGTGCTAGCCGTTTTCTAGAACAAAACATAAAGCAGCTTAAAGAAAATATTTCTGAACCAGAATTCTTAACTGAACTTACGAAAATGGAGATCGAATTCCACTTCAACGCTCCTTCTTTGCCGTCAGCGGGAGGACTCTAGTAGGCTGCGGTCAAGAGCCAGAAATATCAAATCAAAAGTGTTATCGGAGAGTAAAAATTAACATTCGAAGAGTACTCGATACTTACTCAGCTAGAAGCGTGCCTTAATACTAGGCCGCTTTGTGCACTAACTGAGGATGTGGAGGATCTGGACTTCTTAACGCCTTCGCATTTCTTAACTGGAACAGCTGATGTAACCATACTGGAAACAGGACGCGACGCGCGAACAAGATGGAACTTAACAGAAAAACTAATGGCTGATATCTGGAAACGCTGGAATTCGGAATACCTTACATAACTTACCGTTCGAAACAAATGGAAGCAGTCGACATCTAACATTCAAGTCGGGCAATTGGTGACAATTCAAGAAGATAACTTACCTGCTGGAAAATGGTTCCCAGGTCGAGTTATAGATTTACACCCAGGAAAAGATGGTTTCGTTCGAGTTGTCTCCTTGAAAACTAAAAACGGAATTTTAAAACGGCCAGTTACCAAATTATTGATACTGCCACTGCGAGGAAACCAGGAACCTGAACTCAGAAAACACAAGATAACAGCTAAATCAAGTTTGCTGTCAATTTGTGCTGCATTGCTATTTTTCTTGAGTATAATCGTACCTACGCAGGGTGCTTATACTATTCAGCAACTTAATCAATCTTTGTATTTCGACGCTATTTCCAACATCCAACTTATCCGCGATGACTGGAAGCTCATAATTTACTACAACACGCAACCATTTTGGGAAGGCTCCGAAGCACTTGACAAATATCAAAAACACATGGAAAACATATGTGAAACAATGAAGGGTGACGGTCATTGTGATGCGATGCTATTGCAGTTACGTCATAGTACCAGTGAACTCGAGTACTACAACCGCATGTTGCTAGGTATACAAACCGAGCACGACAGACAGAAACGAGAGCTTATCATTGGTGTCGGGTATCTCGCGAATAGTCTCTTCGGAGTACTCGACGACCATTTCACAGAAAAGTATGAGTGAGATATCACACTTGTCAGACAGAATGAACATCATTTGGCTTCCCTGTTCAAGAATTAAACGTCTATTATCGAAGCGGAATACAACATGATGAAAAGAATGGAAGAAGTTATGAGAAAACAACACGAGATTATCAATAAACAGATTAGTGCTTTAGACAGCAACATAAACAAAGTAAAAACAGAATTGGAAAAACTTTATAACATTAACCAATTTTTGGCTATGTCTGTCATAGCGAACAATATACTGCTGAATTTGAAAAGCATACAAAACATGATGACAGACGCTATCACCGATATATATCATGGAAGGTTCGATGTTCATCTCATAAGCCCTACTCAGTTGAGAAATGAACTGAACACAATATCTGGACAAATACCTAAAGACTTGACTCTACCTATATCAAACATACAATCAGATTTTCAAAAAATATATCAGTTTCTTCAAGTGAAAACAAAGATGACTAATAAGTACTTGATTTTTGAAATCAGATTACCATTGGTCAGCCGAGATAATTACAACCTATACAGAGTTATACCGATTCCTCATAAACGGACAAACAATTTTGTGTACATTAAACCGATTAAATCTGCATTACATTGCAAGTCATTTAGAAAAGGATATCTACATCCCAAAGATCTGTGTTTGAAGAATAATTACACAAATTAGTGCCAAATAAACATCGCCGAGTGCAGTAAGAAGTTTATTCAATTAAATAAAGCGAAAAATTACTTATTTACAACATGCGACAAATGCAACGTAAGTGTTTTTTGCGGTGATCAAGTTACCGTGTAACGGCTGAGAGACGCCGGGGTCATCTCGCTGGAACCCGGTCGCTCAATCAAAAGTGAAGAATTATCAATCTATACTCACAAAATATTTACGAGTGAATTGAAAACCGGACCTGAAATTTATACGCCTGAAATCGCTGCTATTAACCAAATTATCAAGCTCTCTATACCAGAAACAGGAGAGTTAGAAAAAGACGCCGACAGTTTCCAAGCCAACCTAACCACCTTGAACGAAAACATCAAAAACCTAAAATCCCAAAATGTGATCGCTGAAAACATAACATTCCATGACATACATCATTACGCCGCCATTTACATCCTGGTGGGAGTGGCTGTGATAGCTGCTATATGCCTTGCCTGCAAACGACTACGACAAAGAAGAAACACGGCTATCACTTCAAGTATTAGCCTCGATAACTTAACTACGGAAGGTGTAAGCTCCGCTCCTGTGGCTGCGGTGGCCGCCCTGAGAGCGCCGCTGCAGTGGCCGCCCCGAGAACGCAAGCCGTTGCCGCCAGCGCCGAGCGTGCGTCCTCACCCGCGGACCCGAACGCGTTCAACACTCAAGACCGAGCAACGTCTCCTATATTGTGAGCTCTCATTTTTAAACGCGATGAAGAATAATTTTTATACCTAACTTTTCTCAAATAATTTTACTTTTTTATGTATTTTTAGTTTATCTACCTTGTTGTGCGGGAAGATGTTCAGTTTACACCGAACACATTATGTACGCGTAGGCATTTTAGTTTAAAGTTTTTATTTAAGTCAGTACATGTACGGACGCCAACATTGTCTTGTGTGTGCTCACATACCTAACATTTATAAACATTATAACAATAATAATATTATAACAATATAATAAACATTTTGAGTATAAACAGTATTTTAAGTAACATTACATCAAAAGGTAGTCATGGATTCGACCCCACACAGAGTGATACAAGTACGTGCATAAATACTATTGCTGACTTTGCACCCTGTGTGTGGCCTATATCGTGTCACTAGAGTAAGCAAATGTAATAAAGTCTGCATGAAAGATGTATTAGAATAAGTTTACATGAGCTTCTGTACGGACATCTCTTAGTTTTATTTTAGTTTTTAAAAACGCCTCCACCGCTCCCGTTAACTTAACTGGCGCAGCCGGTAGGATCGCCATTTGCTTGCGCCGTCCGCGAAATAAATTCGTATAAAATCGTTTACCGCGTTCGTGCCGCGAGGCGATCCTGCGAACCAATATAAATTTGTCAATTGGAGAACAGCTGAAGATGACGAAGGCCGGCTGGTGAGTCCAAATTTTCACCTTCCTTTCCTTGCCATATTATATAGTTTTGTTATTTTGCAATTAGACCTCTTGCGATATAACGTTATCTGGTTTTACATAAAAATCTGTGAAACTTATATTTAATAATATTTAAACTTAATAACAGGAAACAGGCAGGAGATGGGCAGCAGCATCTTCCTGGTAACGACAAAATACAATAAAAAACTGCGGTTGCCAACCCGCTCGCCAAGCGTGGCAACTATGGCAATATACCCCCCATAATGAAGGTTACGAAGAGACGGCCCCCAGTCCCCGGCGGCCCCGCTATTCCTGGCTACGGTGGCAACCATGGTAACGGCGGGGCAGGGGGTGCTAAGAATCTCCGGTGGAGGTTCGGTTGCCACCTACAACGACTCGACCTGGCAACATACAACGCACGCACCCTGAGGACTGACGAGAAGATTGTGGAGCTGGAAGAAGAGATAGATAAGTTACGCTGGCATATTATAGGATTATCCGAAGTCCGAAGAGAGGGGGAGGACACGGTAATCCTTGAATCCGGCAACTTGCTCTATCACCGGGAGGGCGACCATCTGTCCCAAGGAGGTGTCGGATTTATCGTCCACAAGTCTCTCGTTAACAACGTTGTAAAGATTGAGAGTGTGTCGACGAGGGTTGCGTACCTTATACTCAGAATCACCAAACGGTATTCGCTGAAGGTCATACAGGTTTACGCACCAACCTCGGCACACCCCGATCAGGAGGTGGAGGAAATGTATGAGGATATCTCTAGAGCCATGCATTCCTCCAAAACCCAATATACGGTGTTAATGGGAGACTTCAATGCAAAACTAGGCACAAGAGAGAACGGTGAGCTGAAAGTAGGGAAATTTGGAATAGGGCAACGGAACCCAAGGGGCCAGCAGCTGGCCGACTTCATGGAGAAAGAGGGACTCTTTATGATGAACTCTTTCTTCCAGAAGCGGCCCCACAGGAAGTGGACCTGGTCGAGCCCCGACGGTTCGACAAAAAATGAGATTGACTTCATTATGACGACCAGACGACAACTGTTCAGTGATGTCTCAGTGATCGCGAGGGTGAAAACCGGCAGCGATCACCGAATGGTTAGAGGCACACTGAACCTAAACGTTAAGTTGGAGAGGTCTCGTCTAATGAAGTCAACGCTCCGTCCCCCTCGTGCTCTAATCCAAAGTCCCGAAACCTTTCAGCTCGAGTTGCAAAACCGTTTTCAGTGCCTAGAAGACTGCAATGAAGTGGACGATTTGAATGACAAGCTCGTGGAAACTGTCCATGCGGTCGGAGCTAAGTTCTGCAAGACCCGCCGCAGAAGAACACAAAAACTCTCCGATCACACTCTTAATCTCATGGCTGTTAGACGGGAGATGAAGCTACATTCTTCAACAGATTTGACAGCATACAGGCAACTGAACAGACAGATCTCCAAATGCATGCGGCGGGACTTACGCAACTTCAATACAGCTCGTATTGAAGAAGCGATCGAGCGGAACCAAGGCTCCAAAGTCTTTGCCAGAGATCTGTCTGCCAGAAAGAGCCAACTGTCAAAGCTGAAGACCGAATGTGGCAGCATCGTTTCCGGGGCACCTGAGATTTTGAGTGAGATTGAGAGGTTCTATGGGCAGCTGTACACGTCATCGTTGGAGCCACACGCAAGTGTGAGTAAAGATCCAAGAGCGAGTCTTATCCGACACTATTCCGATGATATCCCGGACGTCAGTCTGAGCGAGATTAGAATGGCTCTCCAGCACCTTAAAAACGGCAAGGCCCCAGGCCAGGATGCAATTACAGCGGAGCTTCTGAAAGCGGGTGGAAAACCGGTACTTGAAGTCCTTCAGAAGCTCTTTAATTCCGTCCTCCATGGTGGCATTACACCGGAGGCGTGGAGCAGAAGTGCGGTGGTCTTGTTCTTCAAG